GGAGGGCAATAGATGGGGGAGGGGGGTTGTTACTTTGTGAGGGTGAAAAGGGTAACTATTGCATTGTTCTGTACACCTGAAACTAACAATAAAAAAAATAAATTAAAAAAAAAGTTAAACATACATCTACCATGTGATCCAACCATTCCAATTCTAGATTTTTACCTAAGAAATAAAGGAAATATATGTCCACATAAAGACTGGTACACAAATGTTCATAGCAGCTTTATTGGTAATAGCCCAAAACTAAATACAATCAAATGTCCATCAACAGATAAGTGGATAAATAAATTGTAGTATACCCATATAATGGAATACACTCAGCAATATAAAGGAATGAATTATTGATACACAGAACAACGTGGATAAATGTCAAGATAATGATATTGAGTAAAAGAAACCAGACCCCAAAATGTGTATTTCACAATAAAAAAAATAATGAAAAAAAAATTTATAAACATAAAAAAAGAAAGAAACCAGACCCCTAAAGAAGAATATATACTGTCTGATTCTATGTATATAAAACTTTAGAAAATGCAAATGAATCTATAATGACAGAAAGTAGATCAGTGGTTGCTTAGGTGTGGGAGGAGAGGAGGGATGTGAGGAAAACATTACAAAGGATCATGGGAAAACTTGAGGATGATGGATATATACACTCGATTGTAGTGATGGTTTCAAGGGGGGGAAACGTATGTCAAAACATATCAAATTATATAATTTAAATATGCTCCATATATTTATGACAATTATATCTTAATAAAGCTGTCTCAAAAAACCCTGCAACATAGCTGACATATTTTGAGATCACAAAGTAAGCAGAACGAAAATCTCAGTAAAGGCCTCAAGTGAGGTTTGTGAGTTATCCAAATATGCAAGCAATCCATGCTTCCTCCGCTTTGGCAAATCTCAGTAGAGTTTAATGAGCCATCTCCCTGCTATTCTCCAGAAATGGTCACAACCACCATTACTGGGCCTGTTTGGGGGAAGAAAATGATCCAATCAGTATAAAATGAATTTCCCATCTTGAGAAAGGTTGTTAATTAAACATATAATCCAATTTATAAACATTTTTAAAGGGCTTTCTACTTGCAGGACAGTTTTAATATTGAGAATGAACTTTTTTGCATGTGAATTTCAATACAGACACAGTAGTTATTTAATTTCTCAGAGCCTCAGTTTTCTCATCTGTGAAATACCATAATAAAGAAACCAGAAAACTAAAAACAGCAGACTTTTGACAGTTATTAATCCTTTGGTGGGTAGGGAGGGGCAGAGACATTTTCCCTCCCCCTCTGTTTTGAGAGACGTCCATTTCTTCCCATTTCCACCAGCAGTAATTATCTTCAGTAATTCAAGCCTCTCTCTCAGCCTCCATCCCTAACTCCCTGAGAGAGGTTCCTGAGGAAGATCCCTGCAACAGCCCTGGCTGACTAGTGTGATGACACTAGTCTAAAAGGCGTCCAACCTCCGCTAGACTCGGCTGTGAATAAGGACCACAATGAAGTGCTGGGCTGACGCTGAGGTCTAAGAATTGTGTATCCTGGAGAATGAGCTTCACTTTCCAGACAACCATTACTTGTTGAATGGCTAGATGGGAACATCTCAACAGCATCCCATTTCTAATTGCAGGTGAAGGTAACATTTTCCCAGGGTGGCCTGTGTTCTCCGGGAGCAGAACCAAGCAGGCTTTGACTCTTTAAAGGAGACAAGAATTAGGGCCTACTAAACAGGAATAATGGTTACGCCCACAGATTCTAGCATTAAGCAACTCTAGCTTAAATTTCCAGCTGCCACTTAATATGTGGAGTCTTATCATCTCCCCCCAAAAAATGTTTCATCTCTACAATGGGATAAAACTTCCTTATTTCTTTAAATGGTATTAACTGCCATTATAAATTATAGCATTTTGGCCGATCATTACCTTCAACACTATCATTTAACACACTAACTCAAGTTTTTCCGAAATATATACTTAAATCAAAAGCTTGAATAATTATGACTTATTGAAAAAACAAAACTTTCCCTTCTGAGTTAATAATCTGAGACTATAAGACCTAGAAGAAAACTAAAATCAAGTAAGGTCCAAAAAATGGTACAAACCTCAAATAGCCAAGCAAGGATGCTAACAAAGCTCCGCCTCCGTGCAAACCCTGCCCACTTCCGGCTGCTCCCTCCACCCGCTAACACTGTAACCCCGCCCCTCTTTGCGAAGTCCCGCCCCCCAGCGCCTGATTCTGGTTCCCATTGGGCGAAGCTGAATGCTGTACACACACCAGACACACGCACGTTTGACCGGGGCGTCTTCGCGCCTGCGCATTTGCGCCGTCAGGCAGCTGGGAACTGGGGACTGGGGGAGGGGGGAGGAGGTCAGGCCGAATCTTCCTCCGTAATAAGAAGCTACGCGTCCCGCGGTCCTGGCTCCGTGGGTCCGGTCGGATCGGGCCTGGGCGCCGGAGCTGCTGTGGCTCCCGCCGCGGCGGGTGCGATGGAGGCCGTGCCGGAGCCCAGCACTCACGCCGGGAGAGACCGAGACAGCCGGCGGTGCTAGTAGATGAGGCGGCGACGGCGGCGGCGGCGGCGGCGGCGGCAGCACGGGCTCTCCATGAGCAAGCGGCGGCGGCGACGGGTGCGGCGGCACCGAAGGTTTTCGGTCCCCGGGGAGGTACGAGGATTCGGCTTCCTAGTGGGCGGAGACTGTCTGGTGTGGAAACGCCTTCCGCGGCCGGGCCCTTCCGTTCATTGCCCGCAGTCCCAGGCGCTCTGCGGGACCACTGCACGGACGCAGACAGGGCGCCCAGACGTTTCACCCCGGGGACCCGCCCGCGCTGCGGGGCCAGCTCTCTGTGACAGGCCTTCCCGGGTGCAGCGGGCCTGGGGCAGGGAGGTCGTGGTCGGAGCACAGGGTGCAGCGGAGGATGCCCACCGCGCGCCCAGCGGGTCCCTGCCCGAAGCCCGGTGCTGCTTCGTGCAGGAGCGCGTGGCTGTTTTTCAGATTATTTTGGAGCGCTGATTCTAGAGGGGACCTTTTGGACTCCCAGCTTTTAGGGCGTCTGGCATTCAATGCCTTGGGCAAAGGGTCTGGTTCTCACGACTGGCGTGGAGCACAGATTGTCATCCTTGGAAATTACAAAAAAAAAGGTGTTTTGCCAAGGAAATAAGCGGTCGGGGAAGTTTAGCAGGTTTTATTTATACTGTTGAGGCAGGAAATAAAGACAGCAGGATACCTTCTCCAGAGTTCTAATACAGTGCCTAACGAACAACATTCGAAGGTGTGGCAAAAACTTAAAACAATTTTAAGTAAAGCTCTTTAACTACCATTTCTCCATCTTAGTCATTTTTATTGTAATTTACTTTGGGAGAAATCACTATATTAAGGCCGAAACTATTACTGTAAAGTGTCCTCTAAAGTGCCCTCTAATTCTTCCAATCCTCTGTACGCTCCCCCGTTTTTGTTTTTTTCCAGAAAAAGGCTATAGTTTCATTTTATATATACTATATAGGTATAGTATATATGTAGTGTACAGTATATATACAATTATATTTAATTTTCTTAGAGTATAACTATTGCTTTATAGAGCTATAGTTACTTTTCATTTGTTCATGTCCAAAAGATAGAGGCAAAAAAAGAAAAAAAACCACTATGCAGATTTACGATTCCTTTCCAATGCAATATTTAGGAATCTGAACTCAAGCTCTTGATCTTATGACCTTGCTACAAAGTTCTTTAAAATTAAACAAATAAATCAAATCATGAAAAAAGTTGTTTTCATTTTTAAAGTATTTGAATGGCTTACGGTTTTTCAAATCTGCTTCGGAAATGTGTCAGTTCTTACTAAGAAACTGAGTTTATGTTTTCCTAGGTTCCAAATTTGCCACGCCCTCCTGTTCCTGATTGGCTGACTAAGCCAACCTGTTATGAACTATATATAAACATATACACTTCAAACTAAATATAGTGTTGAATATTTAAGAGTATACAGTATCTTCCTCCAAGCCGAAAATACTGTGTGTATGTTTAATATATTGTAGAACTGAATTTTTAGTCGGCTAGTATTGCAAAATCGGTTTGAACTAAATTTCTCACGCAAATAAAATACATAGGTCTGCAGGATTGAGTGTTGGATTAATGTTGTGCTTGGGTGGGTGTGGCACTTGAAAAGATGGTCGAAGTAAGACACCTCCGTCGCTCACTTTTTCTATTCCTCAGATGCTTCCCTATTTTCATAAAAATATACTTTTCCATATAAGTAATATATTGGAAAACCCTATGATGTTTTTAGTTTAGACATATTTTTGTCCCAAGTAAAGTAAAGCAAGTTTTTAATTCAGTTTCATTAGGACATCATTCTTTAATTTTTTATATTCGCTTTACATAACATACATATGACATAAACATGTTTATTAGAATATTGTCATTGACTTTAAAAACAAAATACTTCGCTATTCCCCCTCCTTGCGGGAAGCACAGGTGCCAATTTAAATAGGGAGGACACCTCAGTTCATCCCCAAGACATACAGAGAAGGGAATCAGGATACTTAGCGAGTTCTGAATCAGATCTTCACAGCATGGCCTCTGTAGTTCAAATTATAGGCTGTCTAGCATGGTCCTAAATTGCAAGTAAAAATCCCAAACTTCATAGAAATGATTTTTGTATTATCTGTACTAATATTCAGTTAAGTTCCAACAAATACTCTTCATTTGTTATCTTTCAGAGTTCATTGGCCATTATTCTGTATCCCAAATAAGGATTCCATGCAGTCTATCGGTTTCATGAATGAAACCACACTTATAACAAGAAAATGAAGCACAGCTTGTATTTTGGAGAGTGGAAGAGGTTTACATTAGGAATATACCCAACCAAATTTAGATTGCATTTTTTTTTTAGCTGAGCCATCCTGTCATCTGTTGGCAGCTGAGCTGCAGCTCAACTTGGGCCAGGAATCAAACCGGCAACCCTGTTGCTCAGGGCTCGCACTCTTGAGCGAGCTCTTAACCAACTAAGCCACTCAGCCAGCCCCTTAGATTGCATTTTTAAATAGCTTTATCTTCATTTAGGATTTAGGATTTTTTATTACAGGGTTTTCCTATATCTCAGATAAAGTCTGCAGTATGATTTATATAAAGGCCTATCAAATGGTCATTCTGTACCTCAAAAAAAAGGCTGCAGCTTCTTAAGTGGCCTTTTCAAAGATCATGCATATTGACCCCAAAATAGCTCATAGCTTGAATTGTTTTAAATTTTTTTTGTTATATTACGAGGCCATCTAACCAAATTTAAATCTTTAGATAGCTTTATTTTCATTTAAATGTAATAGTAATGCGTTTAACTTAGGAATTCACAAATCTGCATGGTCTATTTTTAACTTTTAAAATGCAGGATGAAGACACTGTTTGAAGAGATCAAAGCATCAATTAAAAATAACTATAACCAAGATCGCTCATTTTGGAGGCCTGTTCTTCCTTGGGGAGGTGTTTTTACTATCAAAGCTGGCCGCAAAGCAGTATCCTGTACACCACTCTATGTTGAAATAAGACTGAAAAATACCTGCACCATAGATGGATTCTTGATGTTACTATATGTCATTCTGAATGAAAATGAAAATTTTCCCAGGGAACTCTCTCTTCATTTAGGCAGAGAGTTTATAGACTGCTTTCTTTATTTAATGGACACCTACAGTTTTACAACTGTGAAGCTGCTTTGGATTTGGGACAAGATGGAAAAACAGCAATACAAGTCTGAAGTTCATAAAGCTTCATTAATAATTGATTTGTTTGGGAATGAGCATGATAATTTTACAAAAAATCTTGAAAATCTCATGTCTACCGTACAAGAGAGTTACTGTTCCAACTGGCGATGCCCAACTCGAGTGCAGGAAGATCAGCAGCGCACAATTAATATCAAGTAAGTTGCTCTAAGTCTTTTTGTCACTTTTAGCAGAAATAGTATTTTTTAATGAAGTGTAGACCCTGCGTAATGACTTATACATACAGGTTATACATATAACCACTCAAATGCAAGACACTTTAGTCGGCCCCATGATGAAAATATCCAGACATCTTAGAGTTTACTTCAGTCCAACCACAGTGCTGTACACTGAAACTAATATGATATTGAATGCCAACTGTCATTGAAAAATAAAAAAAATTAAGGAAACAAAAAATTTACAAAACCAACGGATAACTATTTCAGTGCAAAGCAATGAATTGTTCAGTTGCAAATATTTTGCTTTTGCTTTGAATTTACTAATGTGACTGACTATGTAGATAATTCCTTTGTCACAAATTTAACTTCTTGAAGAACATTTAATGTTGTATCCAATGTATGTTTCCAATATAATGTTTCACCCCTTAAATGGATCTCTATAGTGTGGGCTAGTTCTACATGAACAAGAAGATTGAAACTACTCCTTCATTATGGCCAGGGCACAATTATAGACAGAAACCCCCAACTTGGAATATTAATACCTGGAGAGCATGTGGATATGACGAGCATTTTCACTGACTAGGAAAGTGCTGGTAGCCTACTACGTATTTTTGCCTTTCAGAGAGGAGGCAGAGCTCCAACTTGGTAAATGATAGAGAGGAAGGCCAAACTTGGCAAGCCCTAGTGGAGTGTTGGGAAATATTAAAGCACCCTGGGGGCATGAGCTGTAAAAGGGATAATTACTAGTAGGGAAAAAAACAACAACATGACAAAAAGATCCAAACACATGTTGTCAGAAAGTGTATTTGTCCCTATGGTCCAGAAAAACAACCTAACAGATTGTTCCCTTTGGGGGATGCACATATGTACCCTAACTTATTAAATTCACATTTCTTCATAGCATATTTAGTTTAATATAATATCATGCTACTTATGGAAAGTTGATATTTTTATCCTTTTTAGAGTCTAGCAATTAATGTCTCTTTTTCTGAAATACATTTTGTCCATTGTCCTACATTGCTGATATGAGGATGTTGATTTTGAAATCATCAGGGGAAAAAGTTCCGTTACCCTAAATCTTCAAGGACTAAAAAACATTTCAGAAATTTGTCTTGTTTTTTTACTAGTATTTTAATTTGTATATGTTTTGGAACTATAATGAAATATTTATAACCCTATTTTAATACTCATAATTATGCTTCTCTTAGTACTTTTATCATACTCTGTAAAATTTTAAAGCTTTTGCCTATTTTTTAAATTCTGTATTTAAAACAACCTCTGAAGTATGTAGACAAAATTTTTTTTTAACAAATCAGGTAGCTGAGACCAACAATGACTTCCACTTACATTTTATCTGGTAACTAATTGGCTGCTATCTTGATTCTGGGTCCTACTTTCTTCCCCTAGACCAGAATCCCCTCCATTGAATCCTCTGGAAAAAAATTTTAAGGTAACAACAATTGCATATTTCAGGATGAGTTTACGGAAAGAGTTAATGTTTCTTGGAAAGCTTCACGCATTAACGTTTATTAAGTTCAACTAGTTTCTATACTATCTACAAGAAATACAAAGATGGGTAACAGAGGCTATACTTTGATTTGCTAATAATGAATTGACCTGTAAATTTTGTTATCCTAATAGTATTTACCTGTAAATGTTGAAGCAGTTCTTACATGCATTTTACAATTGTTGTAGTCCTCCCCAAGAAATTCCACATGGCAACTTAATACGACTGGCTGTGGATGAGTTATTCTGTTCCAGGATTGAACTGTGTGAAGAGCATGGGTGAGTATATGATAGACATTTAAGATGAAAGTATTTGTGTTGTTTCTGAAGAACCCTGGACTGATAAGCTCTTTGATGTTAGTTCTTTATTAAATAGCAACTTCTAAGTATTTAGGAAGCCTAACATTTTTGGAATCTTAACACCTTCTAGTTTCCTATGCCATCTTATGCTGTGTTGTCATTATCAAATCAAATAGAATATAATACTACAGTTAATTAATGAATACAAAGCAAATGCCTTTTCTTTTTTTCCCCCACTGCTGAGTAGGTACAATAAAACCTTGGTTAACCATAATCCAGCTAGTCGGGACCCTCATTTAACTGGATTTTTTCAGCACTCCTCATTTAAAAGAAAGAGGTAAATTAAAACCAAAAAAACTTAACATAGTAAAGGGGAAAAAAAAAAGGAAATATTTATCCCAAATATATTTTCCCAATCTCTTACTTTCTGTATCTATAGTATTGTACAATGAGAATTAATATTTAGAAGGATGATCTTACAACTAATTAATTACAGAAAAAGGAAATAGTAAAATACGTTCAGTTAATTGTACTTAAGTTCAAAAAGTGAACTAATGTATTTTAGCAACAAATACTGAAACAAAATGGTTTTCTGGTTATCTTGGTTTAGTCAATAATGTTTGTTAACCAAAATACTGTACCCTGAACATTCCGGTTAATCAAGATTTTACTGTATTTGTTGTATTCTGATCCATATGCTTAATATCTGATATTAATAAGAAAACAGAATTTGCTTCATCCTAATGGCAAAAGGAAGCAATTAGGGAGTTTTATCCAGTCTAAAGAGACCTGTAAGAATCATATTTTTCCTCTCCCTGCCACTACTTCCCTTTGAAACCATCTTAGAGAAAGAAAAATGTACACTATCTACAAATAAAAGTTTTTATACCAGTTCAAAAGACTGTTACATGCTTTTATAAGCTTAGATAAAATAGCTTTTCCTGGAGTTTAAAAGTATCGTTTCTTATATATAGAATCTCAAGCTTGTAAACTTCTGGGAATAGATAATATAAAGTATTAATATAGCCACACCATTACCCCTACTTAAAATAGATAATTATGCTATTATGAAATGAAGTAATAAAGACAACCCAGAAGTGATAAAAGGCAGCCTTTTTCCAAGTGTAATAATGTTCACGCCTTTTTCAATTTTAGGTGTGGTGGCTTAAGAGAATTTTCCCAACGAATTTTCTGCCACGGCGCACCCCCTTTTGTTGTCTTAAATATGCAGCATTGGAAATCTGAAGATCTAGCATATGTACCCTATAACTTGGATTTATCTGATCACAAGTAGGTGTTTTTTTTTATTTGCTTTAAAAAAAATAGTAAGGGCCGGCGGAGTGGCGCATTGGTTAGGAGTTGGCTTGGAACGCCAGCTCTGAGCAGCAGGATCCCGGATTGGATCCCACATATGAGGGCCAGTGATGCTGCGCCCTCTACAGCTAAGATGGTGAACAACAGCTCGACCTGGAGCTGGGCTGCTGTGAGTCACTGGTGATGGTGTAGGCTGCAGTGGGCTGCCGTGAGCTACCGTGAGTGGCTGGCAGCCAGCGTGAGCTGCCATGAGCCGCCATGAGCAGCTGTCCAATTGCCAGTGAACAACTGCCTCACCCAGGAAGAGCACAATGATAATACCAACATGGGCCAGTGAAGCTACGTCCTCCACAACTAGAATGAAGAACAAAAGAATAGCAACTTGTCTGTTCCCCTTCCCGGATTCCCCAACACTGTTCCCCTCCTCCAATTCCCCAATAAAAAATCTTAAAAAAAAAATAGTAAAACAAATTTATTTTATATTTTTCTGCTATTCTATTATGACTTTGACCAGCCCTTAAAGAAATACTGTTGAAAAGATCATAACTCTAAATGTATGAATCCTGAATAAGATCAGAATCTACCACAGGGAGTCAGTCGCTGGAAGTGTACATAGCAGGTAGGTGTTTGGACTCCAGAATAGACAGAATTGAGTTCCAACTCAGCCCCACCTTTTACAAGCTATATGACCTTGGGTCAGTTTACATACCAATTTTCTTATCTATAAAACAGAGAGGATAGTATCTATCTGGTGCCATTATTGTGAGGATTTAATGAGCTAGCACTTATAAAGTGTTTAGGATAGAACTTGATACATAGTAACCAGTATCTACTGGCTATTACTTGCATTTCAAGTCCAAATAATGTATAGTATGATGTCATTTAAAAATAAAATGTTACTGTCATTATTATAGATAGAAATATCTGCATTCAAGTTAGTATATACAGGTTTCTTTCAACTTTTTGCTTTTGAAAGTGTTTTTGTTTGTATGTCCTCTTATGTAATAGAACCATATAAGTTGTGAGTTAAAACATAATTTTTTAATTCTTAAATTACATCAAATTAAAAAGTTCTTAAATATTTTACTCCAAATTACCAATTACAGTACATGAGTTTTACAGATGGATATCTTTTTCAAGGAATAGAATGCAAACAATTTCAATTTTTTTATTCCTTAAGAATTTTGGAAATGTTTTATCTGAAGAACAAAGTATTGTAACTTTCTGCTACACTTTGTCATTGGCCTTACAGGTATTTGTTGGAAGGTGCCACATTATTTAACAAAGAGGAACATCATTATTCTGCAGCTTTCCAGATTGATGGACATTGGATGCACTATGATGGCCTCAGAAATGTGAATTTAATTTTGTTAAATAAACCCCCAGAGTTTCTCCTCTTGTCATCATTGGTCTATATTCGAGCAACAGAGAAATAAATATAGACTGATGCTAAATGAAATTGTTTTCCCTCCTGCCCATGCTCCGCAAGATAAGGAGCTGAATGTGTACTTGGTATCCAAGGAAATAGTTCAACTATACTAGTTTCAGAGATGTATTTTCCAGTGTGTAGCCCCAGATAAATGTTTTATATAGAGAATCTATGCAAAAACATTTGCATTTCTTTTTTCTATATCCTGGGTTATTTTTATACAAGCATATTTTATGTTGAAATAAAATATATCTTATAGCCCTTTTATTTTTTATTTATATGTACCTCAAAGATTTTTTACAATTCTGCCCTTGAATCCAAGAAAATACATTGTCAGTTGAATTCTTAAAAAAAAAATTTTTTTTTTTTTTTTGGATATCCAAATAAAATCTGGGTACAAGTCAGTGTTTCAGTTTATATAAATTTAACAGTTCAAAATGTATCTGACTGTATTTCTTTGCCCTACCTCGCTATAATCCAAAGTGCACTGTTGGATCTAGTATGCATTTGAATGTACAAGTTTATAAATAGCTTAGTCTATTTTACCTGTTGTTTTGCCTAATTTCCCTGAAGCAATTTTAAAAATATTTTGGTGAGAATGTTTTTCTGGGCTTGAATTATTTCTTTATAATGGCAAATTCCTTTAATCACTTGCAGAATTATTGACTACCAGAAGATTTTAAGTTTTAACTAAATTCCTAAGCTTATTTAAAGTTATTATTACAAATAAATTATGTAACTAATCTAAACATTTATCTCATAATTAAATGGAAATTTTTCAATAAAAATTTATTTTGCAGATAAGACAACTATAAAAAAGTTAGGCAACTGGATGTTTACTAATGTTGGATTAACAATAGAAATATACTTTAAACATACACTTAGAGAAAATGGGTGCCTGAGAATATTTCTTTTCCTAGTAAGTCATATTGGCACAGAAAAACAAAAACTTAAATTTTTGGAGTAACACCTCCTGGTTCCCTTGTAAGTAGTAAATTGATAGCTTGAGGTTTTGATTTGCAATAGAAATCACCAGAATTTTATAGTTATCAGAATATTGTTTCTTTTCAAAGATCCTAAGATCTCTCTTCTTTTTGTAATTTAAAGGAATAAATTAAGTACTATTCTCAAGGGAAACTATTTTTTGTATCACCATATTTTTTAGTGTTTACATTTCAATAAATAATCCACCTTAGGTTTTGGGTTGAAATTGAGCGCAATATATTTGGAGATTTCTACATGATATCACAGTTCACTGCCATATGCCAAATTTCTAAGGTTTAATTCAGTAAATTAAGTCTTACGTTGATATGGTGCCATGTTGAGATGACTTACTGAAGGATGGATAAATGTAAGTGAAACGTTGCTGAGAACGCCTCACTTTGAGCAAATACTATGAAAATTCCTTTTTTATATAAGATTTTAAAAATAGTGATTTATTTTACAAGAAAAAACATATCCCCAGGATTTGTTTAAATAGTTCCCCCCATGTATTTACACAGAATTTGATTTACAGTAAACTTTTTCTGGGGACACTTTATTGCATGAATCAAAGTATACAAAAACAAATAGTAGCATACACATAAATGGTATCATTAACAAAATTATTCCTAATGCAGATTTATTTTTTTTTAGAAATTGCACTTTATTTGGAATACTAGTTTATCACAAAACAATGACTTACCTACCTCACAGGGTTGTTGTGAGGATTTAGATGTTTGTTAAAATCTTGACTACCTTGAACATGCTAATAAAAAAACATTTTTTCTACCTCTTTTATGTACAGGCAAGTCTCCTAGATTCTTTTACTAATGAAGTTTTCAGATCTTTGTTCTAATTATTCAAGCAGTAGCTCTTATCAGTAATGGATTGAATGTGTAATGGAATTCAAGTCTGCCTCTGGACCCCAGATGGTTGGAGTTTAAGGATTATAGGTAGTGTATTGTTATGCTGGTGGTTGGTTGGTAGAAAGAAGAAATTATTCCTTGCAGATCAAATAATAGAAAAAGGGTGAAAAAGAATGAATTAAACTAGATTATCTGCAGAATGTGAAAGTAAGGGTATGGAAAATTCATTACAACCATAAACACCATTACAGAAATTGAGATGGGTGGGGATGTGAGGGAATAATCAATATATTTCTTATAAAAATGCCACAAACCATAACTATACCAAAGGGAGAGTAAAAATGATTTTAAAACCCTGGCCTCAGAGAGGGATAAACAATAAATACAGCATATTTGAAGAATTTCCAACTTGCCTCTCTTCAGCAAAAGAAACGTTTTCCATGGGGCCAGCCAAGTGGCTCAATTGGTTAAGAGTTGACTTAAGAGTGCGAGCTCTGAGCGACAGGGCCGCCGGTTTGATTCCCACATGGGCCAATGACGCTGCGCCCGAGCTGAGCTGTTGCTGAGCTGCCAACAGGTGGCAGGATGGCTGAGCTGGTGTAACAACAAGATTGCCTGTTCGATGGTGGAATACGCCCACCCACAATGAAGACTGAATTTGGCACCTTGAGCTAAGCTGTTGCCAGGATGGCTCAGTGGATAGAGTGTGCGCTCTTAACAAGGCTGCTGGTTCGACTCCCACATGGCTATGCCTACCCGCAACTAAGATTGAACACAGCACCTTGAGCTTAAAGGCCACGAGCTGCCAATGGGCAGCCAGATGGCAACTGGCGCCCTCCACAACGAAGACAAGAACAACAACTTGGCTGGTCCCCTTCCCCAATTTCCCAATAAAATCTTAAGATAAAAAAAAGAAAGAAACCTTTCCCCTCCAAATTTAGCAAATAATCTTACTTAGATTTATCCTTCAAAGTGGCTTTTCATTATTTATTGAGTCAATTTAATATCTGAGGCCTTCTCACTGGATCTGATCCAATCAAAGAGGAAGAGAAACTAAAGACAGCTATAGATATGCTTTGCATGCTTACTAGGGTGAATTCCATATTCTATTTCATTTTTAGAATATGAGCAAACCACTAAGCTATATAAGCAGATAACTTTTAGGACACAAAAAGCTGTACATGTTGAGCAAATCAACAGTTTAGTTTTATAATTAAATGATTTAATAATGGCATCCAGGTGGCTCAGTTGGTTAGAGTGTATCCTCTGAACAACAAGGTTGCAGGTTCGATTCCCTGCATGGGATGATGGACTGAGCGCTCCCGCCCAACCCCACCTCCCACCCCCGCAACTAGAGTAAAAACAGCGACTGGACTTGGAGCTGAGTTGCATCCTCCACAATTAGATTGAGAACAACAACTTGACTTGGAGCTGATGGGTCCTGGAAAAAACACTGTTTTCCAATAAAGTTTAAAAAAAATAATATAAAATGATTTAACGACAATTATTTGAAAATAATTGTAATGCAATATAAGCAGAAGGGGTAAGCAGTTTATGTAAAAATGACTACAATAAGTACTACGAAACTACAGCCAGGACAAACATTCATATTCTCATCTTCTGTTAATGCTCTAACATTTAAAATCAGCATCAAATTATCTTCTCATTAAAAGCTAAAATCACACAGCTTCTGAAATTCTTAATGACCTGATACCTTACTCATACTAACAGGGGTTCTACCCACCCAGCTGACCTAGGATTCACTATCTGGTCACCGGGACAGCCTTTAACTTCAAATTTAATTTGATTCCAGGGGAAATAATCTTTTACTCTATCTCTGGGAAATTGAGAAAAAAGTAGGGAGCCTCTGTAGATAGGTAATTTTTTATGTGCTGATATCTATGTGAGGATGTACATCAGATTATTTCCCTTCAATGAGCAATCAGGTCTATAGTTCATCCATTTTCTCAATGAGGTCTTCTGCAAAGTATCAAGAGGAACATCTTGAAAATAAAAAAGTGAGCTGCTCTGGCAGGGCCCTTAAAAAGGATATGGGGGCCAGCCGAGTGGCGTGATGGTTAAGAACTGGCTTGGGACGCCAGAGGGCCCCAGTTCGGATCCCACATATCAGGGCCAGTGACACTGCCCTCCACAGCTAAGATGCTGAACAACAGTTCAACCTGGAGCTGGGTTGCCATGAGTCGCCTGTGACGGCGTAGGCTGCAGCCCCTGTGGCAGTGGGTTGCCATGGGCTATCGTGTGTAGCCAGCAGCCAGCGTGAGCAGCCAGCAGCCGCAGTGAGCGGCCATACAGAAGCCGGCGACTGATGTGCCTCGCCCGGGAAGAGTGCAATGATGGTGCCAACTTGGGCCAGTGAAGCCACGTCCTCCACAACTGGACTGAAGAACAAAAGGACAGCAACTTGTCTGTTCCCCTTCCCCCAATTCCTCAGTGCTGTTCCCATCCCCCAATTCCCCAATAAAAATCTTTTAAAAAAAGGATATGGAACAAGAGCTTAGGGAGCGACTGGCTGTGTAGACAAGTTAGCCATGGTGGAATTAGAAATCTGTTCACAGCTTCATTTTCATTACTTGTTATCCCTTTGAATTTTATAGTCTCATTTTTAATATAAAAATAACAAATCAGTAAAAAAATAAGCAATTTCAAAAAAAGTGTAAAGAAAAAAGTGATCATGATTTCTCCACCCAGTGATAATCATCGATTCATACCAGTAAAGTCTGTTTGAAAAATCCCGCATGGTTCTAGTACAGAAGAGAATCAAGAATCAAGGAGTTAGGGCTTTGAAGAAAGAAGTGTACACATATACTCCTGGGGGCTGGCATAGTGGTGATAGAAATAATCAGCATGAGCAACCTTGGAGAGAGAAGTGAGACTGAAGAAAACTGTTGTGGCCATCTGTTCAGACATTTCTTTGTACTTGGATGCTTACTTGCCTTCAGAAGCTTTCATATTCTCAAACCTTCAAGAGCTCATTATTTTATTTTATGAAGGATGACATTTCTTTCCATTCCTCTACCTACATCTCAAAACTAGTATTCCAGGAGCCAGAATTGGGTAGCAATAAAATACCCTGTGGTATACATTGAACCCAAGACAATACAATGAAATCGATTTTGTAGATTTCGTTTCTAGTAGAGGAGTGTAACAAAGATTTAAATACACTGAGCATGATTAGCTTTCTTTAAAGTAAAGTAGAAAAAAGTTATCTTAGGGAGTTTGTGAAAAGGATGGAAGTAGACACAAATAGCTCTGCACATTAAACATATGAAAATTTTAGGGCAGGAAGGAGAGGAAGAGAGAAGATAGTGGTAAACCCAGGAAAGCTGACCTGTGCTCAAGCCAAGAAGCAACCAGGTTGGAGGAAATGGTTGGCTAGGGAAATCTTTGCCCAAGCAAGCTCAGCTTGATTTGGGGGCTACAGCCAGAACAAATTCATATCAGACATACTTTCTCTGCAGAATTCACTTAATACATACTTACTAGTTACTATTGGCTTGTTGAATACATGTCTAAAAAAGGGGAAAGATACAACAATCAATGATGGCTTTACAGAATGAAGTACTACGGCCGACCTGGTAAGCACCTGAGGCTTTGAGAGTCAGAGAGGCGGCTCAGCAGACAACTGCTGTGAGGTCTTTCAAACAGGCCTTTCCCAGTTGCCGCTTAGCATTCCTGGAGGTGGTTTGATGAGGAGAGATTGTCCTGCTTGTGATTTGAAGGCCAATTGTGAGGTCCTGTTTTCTCTACCTTTACCCCCAAAGCCTAACCACCTCTAATTTCCATTACTATAATATAAATCTTAAAACTAAAGATAAAAGAATTTTCAAACACGATCACATTTAAAAAGATATTTGTTGCAGCTAAAGTAATTCATAAAGATTAATACTCTCAAATATTTTGTGTTTTTGATAAGAGGGAAAAGACTTGAGAGGAAAGTGACAGGGTCATTGGGATGGGTCCTTAAATACTTGGTGAGTGAGCCATCAGCAGGACTTGGGTGTGGAAGGGCGGGACTGGGGATTCCCAACTCTTGCAGTCTTCTTCATGAACAGTAGGTGGCAGGAGCTCCTCAGTATGGAATGTAAAGGAGCTGCAGAGGAAGAAGGTTCAGGCCTTAAAAGTATTAACCTATAGATAACAGTTTAGTGGTTACCAGAAGGTGGGGTGGAGGGGGGAGGGGGATGGTAGATGAGGATAAAGGGTATCAAATACACGGTGATGGAAGGAGAACTGACTCTGGGTGGTGAACACACAATGTGATACATGGATGATGTATTATAGAAATGTGCCCCTGAAACCTATGTAACATTACTAACCATTGTCACCCCAATAAATTTTAATTTAAAAAAAAGCAAAAATAAACAGATAACAATCATAGTAATACATTTTATTTAACCCAAGATATCTGAAATATTATTTCAACGTGTAATAAAAAATATTAATCAGCAAAAAAAAGTATTAATCTAACTTCATAATTTCGGTGAGGCAAGTCCAATTTTCCTTCTGTTCTGACGCTATACACACTCGCAGCGTGGGGATCACATTCAGTGGTGACGTCTTTGGTGAGGTTAGCTATGCTCTCTGCCAACAGCCCAGTTCAAATATTTTTAAATTGACTTAGGTTTCTTCATCTGCTTCCCCAGCCCCCATGGTTCCTGTTTTCTTTCTCCTCTTGAAAAGGGTTAGGAATTCCTGTTCCTGGAGAGCTTATGGAAATCCCAAGAAGACCTGATTCAGGATTGACATTCTTCACGATAAAGGAACTGCAGGCCTTCGAGGTGAATCATGATATGTGATCATGCTACCACTGGATTGTCTGTTATCATGTCCTAGACTGCTGAATTTTATGCTACCAAGGAGAGGCAAGAGTATGGCAATTAAACACCTGGAATCTAAAGCCAGGTTGCCTGAGTTCAAATTTCGACTCTGTCACTGGTTGTGTGGCTTTGAGCCTATTACCTAACCTCTATGTTCCCATTTCCAACTACAAAATGAAGATAGTTACAGAATATATGTAATGAGGTTGTGGTGAGGATTAAGTGAATTATGTATAGCACTTATGGTGTGGCACACAGTAAGTGCCATGGAAGTGTTAGCCACCATTATTGTGGCTACCTCTTTCCATATTAAGAAATGAGGGCTGGGGCCGGCCGAGTGGCGCGATGGTTAAGAACT